AATTAGATTTTTATTAAAATTTATTTATGATTTAATTAATTAAATATATTAAAGTCACATAAATATACAATTTGGTCACATTCACAATTTAGTTAGTCACGTATTAATTTTCGATCACAAATTATAATTTTCATTTTTCAAATTATTTTACGATCATAATTCAAAAACTTTGTGGTTACAATTTGTTCATCGGTCACAAATTGATAGGTCACGTATTAATTTTCGGTCACAAATTAGAATTTCCATTTTTCAAATTATTTTACGATCACAATTCAAAAACTTTGCAGGTCACAATTTGTTTATCGGTCACAAATTGATAAGTCACATATTTTTCTTTAGTTACAAATCACAAATTTTATAAGTCATGACTTATTTTATGGTCACAATTCAAACATTTTAAAGGTCACAATTTTTTTATCAGTCACAGATAAAAAATTTTGTAGGTCAAGAATTATTTCGAGATCACAAATCTAAAATTTTATAGGTCACAAATTATTTTATTAGTCACGGATCAAAAATTTATATATCACGTTTTCAAATTTGATGGTCACAAGTTCTTTTTTAATTACAAATTATCAATTTTAAAGTCACGGTTCAATAGCCAGGTCACAGACACCAACAAGAACTACCACTGCCGTTGACCCCACCACAACACGGCCTAGTCAGATCCACTATTGCAGTCGCCACCACCTTACCATCACCGCTAGCAGCTCCATCACCACATACACAACCGCTACCATTGGCAAAACAACCACAACCACCACCATTTTCAACCACCACTACTTCACAGACCAACCACATCGCACCGCACAAATCAATCACCACCGTAATGTCAATCACCACTACTCAAAAATGAGGGAAAAAAAAATAATGGATCTGCACTCCCGAGTCCCGAACTGTAGCTGATGCCGGATAATTGATCTGCACATCCAAAAATTCAAATCGCCGCAGCCGACATTCAAATCGCATGACGCTCACATCAAACAGGTTGTTGTAGCGACGCGACAGCAATGACCATCTTGAGCAATGGTGCAACGTCTTCGCAACGGTCGCACAGAGCGACGCCGCCTTAGAGAAGTGGTGTCGTCTTTGCAACAATCCGGCAGTGGGTGTTACATTTCATACCGACGACTACTACAGTGACTGGGGAGGTAGGCATAGGGGGAGAGAAGGAGAAGACACAATTTTGGCCTTTGGGGGGGAATTAATTAAGGTTAGGATAAAAACTGTTTAATTAATATTTAATATATAAATATAAAATATTTGATTTTTGAAATATTAGACTTTCTACCTGATTTTAGAATGTTGAATGCTTAAAGTAGGGATTTGTGTAATTTCCAATTTATCTATTCCGACTGTACACGTCCAATTCTCCATTCCATTATAATTTTTTGACAAATATACAACACCAAGAAAACTAGCAGCTGCAGATCTCATGTTAACACAGGTCATGAGCAACGTGCTTCGACCAAATATCCAACAATATCCGATCAACACATCGACAAGTAACCAGTGTGGGGACAAGGGCTAGATATTTTGAGAGCTGATGAGACGAAAATAGGTTCGAGAAAAATTCATATATGATGTTTATAAACGTTAAATCAGACATGTAAGATATACAACACTGGCATACATAGATCATATTTACCTAATCAATCAACAACGCGGGTAAATTATATGATTGACAACTCTACCGTTTATAGGTTCAGTCAACCAAGTACAATCTGGGCACAAGAGGACAACTGATCATGTCCAAACGTGTTTGATTGGACCTTCTCCTCGAAACTAAATTAACAAACTCAAAAGGCAATAGATGAACAAATTTTACGAAAGGGATAACTTTCTCCCCACGTAATTGAAATTGATTTTTCCATTAGAGGCAGCCGACACATGTTTTAGAGTACCTCCAATGACTTAGAAGCTCGACAGAAACACCTTAATTACAACAAATTCAAATGAATATACAAACAACTGCACAATTCCGTGGATAGTGGCACCAAAAGCCAAGAATACAAACAGTAAATCGAAAAATTGGGGAAATGAAAGAAATCTTGTTCACTCAAATGTGTTGTATGTGCTTGATCATCTATAACAAAATCTCATTTACCATTCTCCCAAAGCTTGTTTGCCTCTATATTGCAAGTCACTCCATAGAGCAAATTGTCAAATTTGTCCCCGCTAGCTCTTATGACCGGATTGATTTTCCAAGGTTAGTGATGACTGACTCTTCTTGTTTCTCCTGCTTACAAGCACACCGGGTCTTGGCACGTGTGAATTGGCAATAGGCTTTTGAAGTGGTTTCAGGGCAGCCATAATCTCAGCAAATGATGGCCGTAATCTTGGATCTCTACAATATCTCACAGACGAAAAGTATAATAACAATGGATTCACAACTTTAATTACTTTAAATAAACACCAAAATAATGCGTATATCACTCACTCGAGAATTTTCTGAATGCAACATTGCAAATAGCTTAGTTCAAGTGATGAGTACAGTGAAAGATAAGCCCGTTATGCATGTGCTTTCACTGATTTGCGTTGAAGCTGTACTCCAGGCTCTATATATCTCTAGACATTTTAGACCTTTAGTGCATGTTTGGTACACAATATCTTATTTTTCATTCTTAATATAATGTGGAATACTGTCTAATCTACCTTACCATAAATGCCATAAGTTTTTAGCACAAGCATTCTTTAGCATTATTTCTAATGATTAGTAAACGAAACCCTACCCTACTAGGTCAAATGATTTCATGACTGCCCTTAATCTACAGTAAGACTAGTTGATGCAAACATTTGGACACCAGAAAGAGAGATAAATACACTCACGTTTGCCAGCATTTCCGGATTATATCTGCTATAACAGGATCCATATCGTCTGGAATGTCAAGACGCCGATGCTGAAATCCAACGGCACCAACAACTTGCATAGGGTTCATTCCTCCCCAGGGTTGCTGCAAAGTACAAAGTTCCCATAGTATAACGCCAAAGCTATAAACGTCACATCTGCACATGAATCAATCAACGAACAAATCAATCGAAAATCACAAAAGTAAAGAACAAAAATGTCATTTTATGGATTCTGTGTTTTCACCTCTTTTATTTTTCATATAAGAGAAATAATTGGAAGACATACTTTTCATTTGATGGCTCGTTCCTTAGAACTTCTGGTGCCATCCACTCTGCCTAAAGAACAGTAACACCAAATCGTTAAAAGATGTCCCAAAATTGCTTCCTGGAGGCATTAGTAGTAATCAAATGCCCGATGATCGTTAAAAAAATAAAGTCGGATCTTTTATTGAAGAGATGATCACACACTTATTGTCAATTAGAAGTTGACTTATAAATGGAAAATAGCAAACATAAAATTTAGCTTGGGTATTCATCAAGAAGTATTATAAAATACAAGATTAACCAAACATGCCTATTGCTATCATATTTTGGATTTTTTATTGGTGGTGGCAGAAACTATCAAAATGTAGATGCAAGCATTGCCACCTCGTTTCAATTGCTTCCTTAAAAAATCGCAATTCTATACTATAAAACAACACCAGAAAGATTCAACTTTCTGCTTTTCCAGTGAAACATAGATTTTCAGAATCTTAAATTTATTTTCGAACCACGGATCACAGAAAACCACCTTTCTTGAAGAGAAAGTGACAGGATAACACTGTTGACTTTCTACAAAATGGCAGATAATAAGATGATGCAACAAAATAAGCCAGTTGCATGATGAATCATCATGTTGTTCCAAGAAGGCAAAGGCATCAAACAAACGGGAAAAGAGAAAAGGAAAAAAATGATAGAAGAATGGAGGAAAGCATTTCAACAGAAAGTTAGTTAGTATTAATGCTGTGAAATAATATGAAGCATTCCAACATGTCAGTTCCTCTAAAGGATGTAACATTTGAAAAAAGACAGTAAGATATTTATCAACAAAGAATGGCACAAAATATATTTCAGAGCAGATAAATTAAGTGCTAGTGCAAAAGAAGAAAAAGTATTTGATTGAGTGTCTAACTTACTGCATCAAACAGAAAAGGCGATGGTACAAATTATCTTAATCCAGCTTACCGTCCCAGCGTTTGACTTTGAAGAAATAAATGTGCTGTCCTTCATTTTTGATAATCCAAAATCACCTACCTTGACACAGAAGATAATATGTGATTGATTATGATTGAAAAAATAATAATATCATTGTCATTTCTCAGTGAAGAAAGCCACCTTCACAACCCAGTTTTTATCAACAAGAAGGTTTGGAGACTTCAAATCACGATGAACTATTACAGGTGCGCAGTTGTGCAAATAATTCATTCCCCGAGCCTGTGAAATGAAGTAAACTGCATCACAACCAGTATGTACACCAATAAAACAGAAGCTGTTAACTGAGAGAATTAAAAGGTAAGTAAACAAGAGCATACAGCATCAAGAGCCATCCTCAATCGTCTGCGTTCGTCTAGTTGATTATTAGGGCGATGAATCAGCCTATACAAACTACCTCTGGAACAACAAAATATGCTTCAATTTAAAGTCAACGTGTAATAATTAATATATGAACTCATTTTCCTCGAACAAATATTGCAAAACATAAAGAAAAAATATTCAGTTTCTGAAATCTAAAACCCTTGATTAAATGTAATTGAATCACCGTTAAGTAATCCAGAAAGTTGATCCTTATAAAAGGGTAAAATTATATTCATCAACTCTCATGGTTGTATGCGATAAGATTCTGCTTCAATATATACTCAATCAAAATTTGGGAAAATTGCAGGCACTAAATCAAATTACAGGGCTCATACATTTCAGGTAAAATAAAGGGAAAAGAAAAAAAAGATTGAAAATGAACTTTACATTGCCATGTCCTAGAAGAGACATCCAAAGGTCGAAGGATAGATGTTCCAAACAAGCAAGTGATAGTCTATTAGATTAGAGTTTCTTGGAGCATTTTAGCAGTAACTAACAGTTTCATATTCAAAACCATGGTAAAAGATTAATAACTGCACGTACCAAAAAGTTTGGAATTGAGGCATACCTAGGAAGAAACTCAGTAACAATTGAAAGATTTGGAGGCCGAGTAACAGCTCCCATGAAGAGCACTATATTTGGATGTCTGAGTTTTTTCATGATTCGGACCTTACAAAGATGCACAATATAATAAATTATTTCAAATCATAAACATAAAGCCCAAAACATAAAATTAAAAATGACAGCAGAAATTCACAGAACTGGTTGTGAAAGTTGTGGAAATGAATTATAGAAATAGAAAACATAATTTTCAAAAAAACCAGTGGTCAAAAACAAATATCTTACGAAAACAAGCTTGAGATTTAGAAAATCATTCAGGAACAATAATGATTTCTAGTAAGATTTCCTAAATGGCAATTTAGCAATGAAGAGAGGAGCTTTCAACTGCACTTCTTCATGCAATACTCGACTTGGAAGAAACACCTATTACGTCTCCTGCTAAGTAAGATCTTTATAAGAATAACTATTAGTAATGTGTTTAACAGAACTAACTTCAGAGAAGGTTATCAGAAATTCATCTTAAAATTTATAACATCCTAAAAATAAATCATGTGACGATCAGTTTTGACAGGATTGAAAGAAGATACTTGTAATTGCTATGTGGGTGAAATCTGACTGTGGTTTCAATGCTAATAAAGAATGTATCTATGTCAGGAAAGAGAGAAATTATACCTCACTTCTGAATTCTTCAAGGGATTCATTAGTTACATCTTGGTCGAGGAACTTTTTAACAGCAACTTCCTATAGTTTGAAATCAATGTATAGAACTCAATGCTGAAGAAAATATCAGATCAATAAAGAACCAAAACCACAATAACAATGATAAAAACATAAACCACAACAGCAGTAGGTATCAATGTGTAAGAAGACTGGTTAATTATCCAAATTTTTGTGAAACATTGCGAAGAGGGATCATGTTCATAACTAGAATGTTGGCACACAAACACCGAGCCTAAAATGTTAAGTTCATGGGCTACAAATAAGAAGAGAAAAAGACATTTGTTCACAAATAGACAAATAGTTAGAAGTTCAGTCCAGTCATAGATAGAACATAGGTTTCTTGATTGCCTACAAAAACGAAGCACATTTCATAATAATTTGTAAACAAAGTTTCTAGAATATGGTTATCCCAAGGGGTATAAAATACAAAAATGAATTAGTTATCAGCCAAACTGCTCAGAATCCATGGCTGACCCCACCGAATTGACGCAACCAGCCACCAACTCAACCGAATCTATCCTTGACAATCTGACAACAAAAATGATGGAGGTCTTAACAAAAGCCCATACCTCTTCACAATCGCCCTTCATTGATTCCCTGACGGTTCCGATTAGCATCAAGTTGGATGGTTCCAACTATGTGTTATCGTCCCAGGTTGTTGAGATGTACATCTCATGCAAAGACAAACTGGGACATACCAATGGAGACTCTCCCCAGCCACTAGAAATAGACCCATCATTTCGTAAATGGCGAACTGAGAATGCCATTGTGAAAGGAAGGTTGATCGACTCAATGGACTCTTTCTTAGTTGTGAACTTCATTCGCTTCCCAACGGTTAAACAAGTATGGGATTCTGCTACTACAACATACTTCGATGGAACTCTCACCTCGCAAGTATATGATCTCCGGTGTCTGTATCTCGGATAAGACAAGCGAGAGGATCTATTGAGAAATACTACAATGACCTACAGTTTGTGGCGAGAGATTGATTTTCGTCGTCTCAATCCAATGGAACGCGCAACTGATAAAAAAATATAACTCAATCTTACATGATGACAGAGTTTACATTTTTCTGGATGGGCTAGATGACCGACTAGATAATATTCGGAGCGATGTTCTACAGCTGAAGCCCTTTCCTATATTAGAGACAGCGTATGCTCACGTTTGACGGGAAGATGTTTGAGAATCTATGATGGCATCGGGAGCAGTGTTAGTGGTGCTGTTTTGGCCGCCAAGGAATGAAATTTGGCTAGTCACAATCCTTAATGAAGTCAGGGTCACTCTCCCTGAGCAGTGGGAAACAAATTCATCCTCAAAACCCAAGGGTCAATCTGATGGGAATAAGTGTACTCAGTGTAATTGATGCGGACATCAATCATCGAGATTTAGTTTTTTATTGTTATTAGACCTTATTAGTTATGTTTTTTATTATTGGGCTCGTAGTAGTGGGTTGGCCCAAATCCGTCACTTGGCTAGATTTTTGCTATTTATTAGATTTTTCATTGTTGATTGAATTAGACGATGAATGAATAAAAATAAATTGAGTTTTTGGCTTGCAGCTACATTTCCTCTCTTTCCTTCTTCTCCCCTGATTACTCCTCCGGCTTCTTCCCCCATTCTCTCCGGTTTCTCCCCCCATTTCTTGCTGCTTTCTTCTCATATCCTGCATCAAATTTGGTATTAGAGCCAAACTTGGGAATTCTTCTACACGGTCAATCCATAGGCATCAACTGTAACCTGCAAACAAGAAGCCCACAAATAGCCTTCAACTCCCAAACACTACCCAAACTGCTATCCACGCCCCAAAGTTGCAAACCCGTCACTACTTGCTCGACACCAACCTAAATTCTCCCCAAAGTTCTCTCAAAATCCGGAACTCCAACCACACAAACCCAGAATTCCAGTCGCCGACATCACCACGTAGCCAAGACCTCCCCTTTTCTATCGTCAACCACACAAATCCAGAATTTGATCATGCTTAATCTTTGGCCCGAGATTATGAGTTGATTATGGGTGCTCCATATGAAAAGCATGGTGACAACCATACACCCATCTCATCAACACCACTTCCTCTTACGTCTATTAGTAGGGATGGCAAAAAAACCCGACAAACCCGATACCCGCGGGGACCCGTCCCGAA